GCGCGGAGCCCGGCTCCCCGGGAGCGCCGGGGGGCTGGGGAGGCGCCGGAATACCCGGGTGGCGCGGGAACCGTAAGAGGAACCAGGTACTTCCCCGAAGGCCCCGGCTCCTCCGGCGCCCGGGTTCAACAGCCGAGGGAACTGAGGAGAAAAAGGAAGATGCGGCAGGGAAGAGGGGAGCGGGGGCGGGGTGAGTGGCTGCGGGCTGAGATAGAGGCAGAGGGAGAGAACCCCTGAGCCACGCCGAGAGCGAGCCCATCTGCTCTGCCAAACAGCTCGGAGATCCCTTGAGGTTTGTACAGTTGGTGAAAATATAACAAGCCCCCCGCCCCCCCCAACCGTCTGTCTGACACGCTCCTTTGGAGCAAATGAAATGCAGAGGGGTGTGCGAGTCACCCAACTGCGCAAGACGGCTCCCCCACGCTTCCCTGAAGAATTGTTTCCCCCGTGGCCCAAATTGCAGAGCCCGGGATCAGAGAGTGGCTGCGCGCCCAGGATGGCTGGGGTGAGAACAGACCCACTCGCCAGTAGCAGAAGCCCCAAACTGTCAGTCCCCCAAGCGAGTCCCGCCGGAGGAGGGAATGCCCTGTTTGCCGTTTGCGGGTGATCCTTTCCCACAGACCTGACGGTGCGGGAGTCTCGCGAACACCCAAGAATACACTACCTTCTCGGCCACTACCGCGACTGAATACAAATCCTGCCAACAGACAGAACTGGAAAACAGGGTTGGTGGTGGAGATATTGATAAGAAAAATCATAAAGGGGAGAAATGCATTCCGATGATAGCTGGTATTTTGCTTGAAAGGAAAAAAATAAAAAGAGAAAAAGAGCCACCAGCAGGTAGATCTTGGATAAAGAGCTTATTGCACTTGACTGTAATTTCCATTTTCCGTTATGAAAATTGTTTGTCAATAATTGCAAATGGCTACAGAAACCACTTTAGTTTATCTTGGTCACTTGCTTGTGAATAATGTCTTGAAAGATCTCTGTAGGAGACAGAATCAGCTGTGTGAAATTCATTGCCTGGTTCTTGAAAATACGTGGTTTGATAATTTTGAAAAGACAAGCCTTACCCATCAGGGAAGATGAAGTACGATTTTAAATGCAATTTTCCCATTTCAGAGTCAACTACAGGTTGTATCAGACTTGAGATAAACAAAAAGAAGTTTTGCTTTTAAATCAGTGATGTGGGGAGACATGGATGAAGGGAGGTTCTCCAGAATAAAGAAAAAGATGCTGAGAACACAGCTCTGTACTGTTATTTAGGCTCCATTTGTTCTGTTTGGGTTGTGCTAGCTAGTTCTGCCTTCCTGCTCCCTTTGCAGATTATGATTGCTTGAATAATTCTAAAAACATCGAAATCCAAAATGTGTAGATGAAAGAAAGAGTTGAGCTCCAAAGAGTGCAGGAGAAAGTTAGAGGTCATTAGAGATGTGATCTTTTCAAAGTTGGCTGGGCAGGTTGGAGCTGCTGTGGGGCTTGTTCAGTTGGTATTTATGCAGCAAACAACCCGCTGACATTCACATTGGCAATATCTAGTGCCAATCTTTGTGTAAGAATGTTCCATTGTCTTCAGGGCAGGAGGCACAGAACACTGTACACATGTGCTCGTGGTAGCAATTATTTTTTTCCCTCCAAGTTCCTTTCCCACTATCTTTCTCCTGTAGTTAGAATGTCCAGCAGAAAAAGGACTTTGCTTTAGCCCAGGGAGTGGAGTTGCTCTGTCCCAGTGTCTTAAAAAGAAGCGGTTGCAGGGATTTATCTCTTCACTGGACCCACAGGAATGACCTGGCCCTTAGCTCGCGGCTGGCTTTGGAAGCTTTAGCAAACTATTGCTGTTTTCTTGATAGAACCTGATTGGACATCACCAGACTCATCATGTTGTTTGCTCAGGAGGGATAGTCACACCATGTTGTACCAGGAGAAAAGGATGTGAATGGAGAGCCTCCTGGATTATAATGGTTCCATCCCAAGGGGGAGGGGGTTTTCTGTCTGCTAGAAATTTAGATTTGAACTATCTCCCTTCCTTCCTTCCTTCCTTCCTTCCTTCCTTCCTTCCTTCCTTCCTCCCTCCCTCCCTCCCTCCCTCCCTTCCTTCCTTCCTTCCTTCCCTCCCCTCCCTCCCTCTCTCCCTCCCTCCTTTCTCTCTCCTTCCTTCCTTCTTTCTTTCTTTGTTCCAGGAAGTCTTAGCTTTGAATTTCATTTCTACTTGGTACTTTGACAAGTTGTGATGAACTCACTGACTAAGGACGTTGAATATGATGCATTCTTATCCCAGGACCTGCCTTCTGAGTGGTGGTTATTGCTGTGGGAGTGATTTGAGGGGGCTCCTGACTCATAATAACTCCTGGCTTTGGCTTGTTACAGGGCCAGTCTTAACCACTATTAGAGGCATTTCTTTGATAAAGATGTTATGGATCTCCTGGAAATGGTCTTATAAATGCAGATGTTCCAGTTGGGGGATGACCGTAATGCATCTTCAGGATTTGATACCTATGATGAATTTACTCACTCCCCGGGGAGGGGAGGGCCACGTCTTAAGATTGTGACCTGCAGGACACCATCAGCACTGAGGAGGGAGGAGATCCGGCTCTAGGGGAGGAGGGAGCAGGTGAGCAGAAGTGGGGAGATGTAGGAGAGGCTGGAGATGAGTATGCGGAAGTTATTGCACATATGTGTTACCAGTTTCATGCTTTTCCAGGCAAAAGTATACCCACAGATAGACATCTTCTGGCTGTTTATCAGCCAACTTTCCCAGTGGTAATGAGCCTTAGTGGTAGGAGTGCTGCGTCACATCCTGCATACAACTTAGGAAGGTTTCCTATCTTCCTCTCCACTACAGAAGAATGTCTTGTCACTACTTCCTTCAAAATAGCCCTTTGAATGCTCCAAGTGTCCATGAACTTCAGCTTCCCAACCAGATGTTGCAGCTCCACTGACTTTTCCTCTTGTGTCCTTCTTTCCAGTTTCCCTTTGATTTCCTTTGATTCCTTGGACACGTGACTTAATGTCTGACCAACCCTGAGTATGATGGGAAAGTGGCTTTTATCAGGTCTTCTAAACACAATACGGCAGTAAAGTATTGGAGTTGGAGGACCAATTGTTAAACTAACAGTGTCCCTGTTCATTCTTATGGCACTTGGCAATTTATAAAGTACTTTGACACACATTATTTCGTTTGATTTCACAACCCTGGGAGGTGGCCAGAAATCATTCTTCAGTTTAGAAATAAAGAAACTGATCCCAGGTTAAATGACTTGTCAGTGCTGTAGATTGAGTCCTGAGGGGAGTGGGATTAGAATCCGGGACTACTCAGATCCTAGGATGCCACACCCACAGCCCGCATCATCACATCAGGGTCAGCTCAACATCCATCATGGTCTGCTGCACCCAAGGGCGTGGGGTAAAGGAAAGAACATAGCCACAGTCCTGCATTTGAATTCTTGCCAAGATTTTAGACACATTCATATAATCTTCTTGTTTTTAGGTTCCTTATATCCCAAATGGAGGCTGTGATGCTAACCTCATTCGTGTATCTTATAAAGGAAATGAGATAATGTGTGTGAGGCTCCCTGCACACTTAGCATTCAATAAATGTTGATTTCACCCCCTTCCCCTCTTATATGATACCTACTGTAAAAGAGACGTCTCATTACTTTAAACGTGCTCTTTTTATGCAATAGCTGTGTTATCAAAAAAAAAAAGTGCACAAATTGAATTCTACTAAATCAGATTGCATTTTAAATGCACGGGGGATTTAGCTATTTAAAGGAAACCTGTGGTGAATTCTTTTGTAATGCAAATACTCATCTTCTAATTTATCTGTTTAGTAAGTTGAGCTTCTCATCTATCGGATTTTCTTAATATGGGGTCTGCTTGTAGAGAAGAGCTTTCCCAGCCCTCTCTCACTGATGGGAAAAAGTCACTCAGCTTGCAAACAAAATCAGTTATTGTGTTCAGCTGGCAAAGCCTTGCTCTGGTGTTTTGAGCATAATCTCAAGTTCTCTTATTATTAAATAATAGAACCTCAGAATGGGGAGCTGGAAGACACCTTAGAGATTATGTGGTCCATCTCATTTCACAGATGAAGAAATGGAAACACGTGGAGGTGAAGTGACATGTTCAGTGTCACCAGCCTGTGACTGTCACACAAGGATCCAATTCCAGGCCTCTGGTGCTGGTGGTGGGGCTCTGCCTAGCCCAGCCTCACTCTGCCTCCACCAGGATTCCAGGGCCCTGCACACCTGTGGTAGCAGAGGAGCTGATAAACAAATAGGATGCATTTTGTAGAACAACCAAAAAGAGCTGTAAGTGTGGGCTGTTGCAAGAGAAACTGCTGGATTTGCAATTTTGTGAATTGATGACAATATTCAGCTTAACCTTTTTGTTAAAGAGCTGAATGGAATCCAGCTTAGGGATGCTGTTTGGCCTTTCCATGAGAAAAAGTTTACAATTCTTGGCTAATGATCCGCCTGTGAGGAATTTTACCAAGTCCTGTCTTAAAAGCACTTGCCAAGTGCTGGAGGAAGATGAAGACGTGGTGACAGACCCTGTAAAGCCCCCTCCTCATGGCTTGGTGGGTTTGTTCTCTGTGGCATCAGGCTGGCTGGGAAGCCTGATTTGAAGCAGAGATGTTTGGACAAACTGCATTTGATACTCTCAACCCTTTGAAAGATTCTTGGAAATGCCCCCAGATTGTACCCTCCTAATGAGTGCATTGTTTTTCTTAAAGAGCTGACCATTGAAGATGTATGCATTTCTGAGAGATTTCAGTGGAGGGGCAGGGCCGTTCCCCTTGCTTGTGTTGTCCTGGTCAGTCTCTGCAGCCCCAAGGGTGCTTTCTCAAAGGACAGGGCCCACCTGGAGGACCTGAGGATTTTGACAGTGGTGCTATTTTCTAGCTCGGGGCTTTGGGCTATACTCAACCTTCCTGAGCCTTTTCCCCCTCATTTTTATGAGAGTTAATGACTGGTGTATGAAAATTCAGTGAGATACTCTGTTGGCACTTGAGATTTTGGTACAGAGAAGGTACCTAGTGAAATAAAAATAAGCCGAATTCAGGGCTCTGGGCCTTGAGGAGCTGTCCATATTACTGGCCTTTCGGGAAATAGCTAGAGCATTTGAGGGAGGCCACTGATTCATCTAGCTGGGGGGCTGCAGACTTGGGCCAGTGAGCCAGTTAATGGAAGAGCTAAGGATGTACAAGGGACCCGTGTACCGTGTTCTTAGGATGGGCTGGGAGGGAATGAACCAGAAGGTCTGCGTGGACATTTAATGGTTAAGCCTCGATGGTTCATCCTGGAAACCCCTCCTCTGGGCTGAGAAAAAGTGGAAGGTGTCTGCTCCCCTCTGAGGTCGCTTTCAGGAGCACAGACCTCACACCTTCTCGAAGAAGTCCATCAGCTCAGGCGAGGTTTGTACCAAACCCCGGAGGAAGGTCAGCTGGGGAGAAAAACTGTTTTATTTAAATCCAGCACAGAACAGGAAGTAGAGCTGTTTGGCTCAATGGCACCGAAAGGTCATTATTTCGTTAAAACTCATTGTCTTCAAGTAAGGTGAGTTTAGATTAAAGCTCACAAGAATTGCCCAAGAGCAAGATTTGGCAATGCAAGACTGCACGATGCAACCAGATTTATGTCGTTTTCTACAAACTTGCAAACATATTTTCCCTTAAACTTTAAAGGGGAAACTAAGCCTTCCAGCCATCAAGAGTCTGAGTTTTTATGACAACGTATCAGATTTTGAAATAACGGCTGTATTTCAACATTTTATAAGTAGCTCTGATTTTAATCTTAAAGTGATGAGAAGTGTCAGTAAAAACCTCACCAAGTGGACAAATATGGAAAGAGTTGCTCTGCGTTAATGGAAAACGAATTGCAGTCTAGATTAGCAGCGAGAGTTCCTGTTTGCTGAGCGCTTCCCCTGCGCCAGCCACTGCTTTCCACGTGTGCTGTGTGGCAGGCAGGCTCTGGTACCCTTTACTGACAAGAAAACCAACCTTCAGAGACATCGTGTGCCATTAATTCTATGTTGCAAAGCAGGAAACTTAAGCAAAAATCCAAGTGAGCTGCCCAATAAAAATCAACCAAAATGGAACCTCTCATTTTTCATCGAAGTGCATCCATCCGCTAAACAAAACCAATTCCTGTCTCACTGTTACTCACTCCCCAATCTTTCCTTAACTTAAAGACCTATGAGATGCCAAAGAGACTAAAATTATTGCAAAGATGAATACTTCTAAAAGAAACTCAGTGTTACTACATCTAGGACTACTCAGCAAGCGGACCTGGGTTAGTGCTGTCGGAGCAGCGTAGGTAAGGGTGATTTGTAATTAACAGATGGACTGTGTTTAGGGTCTTCTATAATTGAAAAACGATTATTCTCTGAAGTGTTTTAAGTCTTTGGGAGGTGGCTTGGGGGTAATGAAGACAGGCTGGTCTTTGGAGAACAGCACGTCCCCTTTCTTTCTCCCTTCAATATTTCTCCTTCATTTATCCATTCATTCTGTGCTCTGTCAGAAAGGATATGTTCAGGGTCAGCCCAGCCCTGTGGACTTGGTCTCAAGCCCTGAATTAGTGGTCAGAGTTAATGAGGTTTGACCATCTTCTAACTGGTCTTCCTTGTGAAACTGTAAAACACAATCCTATTTCTCTTAATGAGTGGTCAGTGTAATTCATGGTCCATCACTTCAGTGGTTTCATCCAGAAAGTCAAGTTGACTTTCTAAGTGTTTCCTTTTGTGGAATGCCTGAGGTCAGGCTGTTGCCAAATCACAGATTTTCTGAGGGAGAAGCAGCTGCTGGAAGAATTGTGTGTGAGGGAATATCAGTCAAGTGGTAAGAAAAATCAGAAAAGGACTAAGTATTTTGGGGGCAGAATAGGGCTTAGTATGTGCCAGGAGACAGGAAATGCTTGTCACAGGCAGATTAGAACTAACTCAGCAGACTGGGCCATTGGCTGTATTTCTGAGTGTACTCCAGGTATATATACTCAGAAATCCAGGGCCTTGGGCTATGATGAGCCCCCTTTGCTCATCTGAAAGTGAAAAAAGTGCAGCCTTCTCTGAAGGCTTTTGGACATATGTTCAGTTGTCCTCTAGGGACGCACCATCCTTTCCTTTGGGACAGGGAGGATGGAATGAAAATTTTATGAACTGGAAATTGAACAAGTGAATGGAAAATGCAGCCAGATGTTGGTTGTCTAGAGTGGAGGAGAACTGTCCACATTTCAGGTTTCAAACCCATATGTATAAGTAGGTTAGAAATGAACACTAGATTAACCATCCTGCCAGAATAAGATGGAGCTGTTTATCCTTGCCATTACGTGTGCGTTTCATACATCAGATTCCCTTATGTTAAGTCAGTTCTGGTTTTCAGTGAAACCTCCACAAATGTCCTTTGGAAGAGTGGCATGGAATTCTTTGAGAGCGGAGGTCCTAGAACAAACTCTTTCTGTAGATTTGCTTGTAGATGTTTATTTCTAGTCTTGATGGAATCACCGTTTTCCCCACTGAGAAGCTCTGCAATTGATCTCCAGCTCGGATTTGCTCCTGGTGATTCTAGGATCAAGGAGCACTTACTTCAGAACAATACGCACACCCATTGCTTCCACTCTGACAAATTAATGGGAACCTGACAATGGTAACAGGGATACCTTCACATATATCCCACCCTATGTGTTTAATTTTCAAGTCTTTGTTTTATTACTGGAGAACAATAGGGTAATTTACATGAAATTGCTGACATTCTATGTTAAATCTTTTTACAAGCTCTAAAACTTAAACATTTGGGGCTCCTTGGGTGGTTTTTTTTTTTTTCTGCCTTTTTTTTGTGATTGAATAATCACTTTTTCCCATTGGGAAATCTGTGGCACTAAAAAATGCCATTAACAGATGACTGGCTTGTTGAATACATCACAGAAAATATCCTTTCATCCTGATTTTGTGGACGAAATTTAAATGCTAAATTCTGACAGCCGTAGAAAGTAAAAACAGATTTGAAAAGAAATAATGCTATCAACCACAGGATTTTTATCTTCATGGAAATTGGATTTATTGAAATAAAATGGTAAATAAAAATACTTTCTGATTTGGGAGAATCAGCCTAGTTTTTGAGACTTTTCTGTTTCCCTTGCTCCAAAAGTGTCATCAATCTCCCTGTTTAGATGCAGTGCAGCCAGGTGTTCAGATCATAAGGGGACAAAAAGAATTAGTTTCTTACTGAATAGGGAAAATTAAGCAACAACAACAACAACAACAAAAGAGGTTGGTACAAACAGAGCTTAAAAATATGAAAAATGTAGACCCATCGAACTGAACCCTTTATGTTTTTCCTCCTCTTCCCTCCCCAGGAATAATTCTGCTACAGGGCTGACTTCAAGGACGTGAATTGGTGACCTCATCCCAACATCAGAACCTCAGCTGTTATTCTAATTTTTGCACCATTCCTGGCAAGTTGACTTTATTTGGAAGTAAAATTGAACCTTGGGGTCTGATGGAAATTCACTGTGACATTGAAATCAAGAACACTTACTGAACCCCACAGAGCCTTTTCCACATGGGCCCTGATGGTAGCCTCCAGAAGGTGCAGCCTCAGGTGGTCCCCCTTCTGTGGCAAGAATAAAGTTTGGGTCTCAGATTGCAACACCACCTGTGGAGAAAATGGTATGTGAGGGAAAGCGATCAGCCTCTTGCCCTTGTTTCTTCCTCCTGACCGCCAAGTTCTACTGGATCCTCACGATGATGCAAAGAACTCACAGCCAAGAGTACGCCCATTCCATACGAGTGGATGGGGACATCATTTTGGGGGGTCTCTTCCCTGTCCATGCCAAGGGCGAGAGAGGGGTGCCTTGTGGGGAGCTGAAGAAGGAAAAGGGGATCCACAGACTGGAGGCCATGCTTTATGCAATCGACCAGATTAATAAGGACCCTGATCTCCTCTCCAATATCACTCTGGGTGTCCGGATCCTCGACACATGCTCCAGGGACACCTACGCTTTGGAGCAGTCACTAACGTTCGTGCAGGCACTGATAGAGAAAGACGCTTCCGACGTGAAGTGTGCTAATGGAGATCCGCCCATTTTCACCAAGCCTGACAAGATTTCTGGCGTCATAGGTGCTGCCGCGAGCTCCGTGTCCATCATGGTGGCTAACATTTTAAGACTTTTTAAGGTAGGTAAAGGCATTGTCTTTCTGACAATACATTGTTCTGACTCCAACTGCAGTTTAAGAAGAGAAAGCAGTGAAGATGCTCTTAGACCCTTTTAGGGTCACAGGTTCCTCGAAGAGAGGATTTTGTGTCTGGGTTTCTATATGTGTTGATTTAGTTCCATTTAAAAAATAATTCATCAGATTCATTGTGACTTTTTTTTTATGGAACCAACAGGTGATCATTTTTGTACCATGTTGAGTCCTCAGCATCTTGGGATAATGCTCTTTATTGAGGCATATTTTAAAACAAAGCAAGTGTTTTTAGAGAACTCTTAGCTCATTTATCATATCAAATATTCCAATGGTATTTGAGGTTTAAGATAATTTACTAGGTGAAACTTCTTTAACGTGGGACGCACTGTTATGACAAAAGTTCCTGTGTGAGAAATAGTATTTATTACTAATGTGTAGATGGGAGTGACACTCTAGGCTAGAAGATGGCCATACAATTGTCAGGTTTATTATAGGTACAATAGAGCAGAACCTCATTAATTCAGACTGCTCTGATGCAGACTTAGAATAATTATATGTAATTCTTACTGAGTTAAAAGTTCAAATTTAGCAGGATAATTTGAGACTTTTTGATTTAGCTTGGATGATCATTACCTATAAATTGCATTTGCATATTGAATAAAATTGGCAAAATGAAATAACATATGGAACAATACTTTTAAAATATAAAGTTCCATAAAAATAAAATTATAAGGCATCTTTCATTAACTCTAATTTTATTTATTACTATCCATTATGTGGTCTTTTGTAATAGACATAATTTTAAAAATTGAAAATACTTTTCACTCTGATTTTTCACTCAGTGGGACATGACTTTTCCAACTTATTCTGAATTAATGAGTCTTCGTTTTATATTGTGAGAAACTGTTTCTATGCATATTAGATTTAAAAAGATTGAAAGAATATGGAGAAGTTGGACAGGTGACAGATATTGTGACAAAAATGAACAAAGTGATGGAAAACTTACTTCAAAAGGGAGATGAAAGTGTTCGGATCAAAGGCTTTCTGGTTTGGAAAGCTATCTTGGGGGGCCATCTAGTCTGGTTCATGCCTGTAGCATCCCCCAACTTCTGTACGAATTCCCTTAGTTTAGAGGAAAGAATGCTAAGAGGCAGCTCAAGGACCCTTTGCAGACTGGTGAAATTTTCTCAAATGAGGATGCTGCTGAGTAGAAGCTCTCTGTGTCTAAGGAGTACTGAAGAGGCACACGCAGGCGTTAAGCAATGCCAGAGATACGTGAGCCAGATGTTAGAAGGAGCCTCTTGGAAATGAGAGGGACACAAGAGTAAAAAGGCAGCCAAGGGTGCTCTAGTTCCCCACCTCTGGAAACTTTCAAGGGAAGCTGGGAAGTTGTTAGTGATTTCTCTGGGGCTGACTGACCCCTTGCTTGGAGGCAAGATGCAGAACCAGAATCCTCCAGGTTCACCCCCGCATCCTGGGATCCAGGATTTCTCCCAGCAGTCCTGATGCTGAACCCCAGGGTATTTTTGTCTCCTGGGTGATGTCTAGTCCCGCCCGTTTCCCAATTCCCTTCTCCTCTCAGACTCGATCTCCCTCCTGCCCTGCTCCAAAGCATCTCTTTTCTGTTCTTAACACATCAACTATGGCTCAGCCATACCCACTTTTAGAGAAGAGGAAAACTTCATGAGGCTCTTCTCCCTTTCTTCCATTACCCCTTGCCCCTTTTTTTCATTACCCTACCCTTTTACATGGATTCTGTTCCCATCAATCCCATTGTAATTCCTGTGAATTCCTATAATCTGGTGCCAAAAATAGGCAAGGATTTGAGGAGTGGGGTGGAGGTGATAATTGCTGAGTTGAGGTTTTCAAAGCTTCTTTACATTAATTTTGTACAGAATCAGCTTATCTGTAAAATGGGGATGTTGACATTGTGTTAGGTTGTTGGATGGGATTTAACGGGAAAATGCAGTGAAGGATTCCACCAGGATGTAACTGTCCTTTGCCTCCTTGGGCTGCCAAAGGGAACCTCAGGCCACCTGAAGGGTGGGTTTTGTTTTGATGCAGTCTGGATCTGGCTTTTCTCTGCTCTGTTCTTCCCTTGCTGACTGGCCAGTTCTCTCCTTACTCTCCTGGGTAACTTTGGAGGGACCTTATTTGACCAGATCAGAGGATTACCAGTGACTCTTCGGGCAGAGTCGAATGCTTCAGGTCAGTTCTGTAGCCAGGAGGGGATGTTGGTTATGGTCGATGTCATAACTAAGACTAATATGCTGGCCTGGAGTGAGCATTTAATATATAGGAGCAAATGTATTTATTAACTGAATAACTAGGGCTTGAAAGCTTGAAAAATTTGTCTTTTAAAAGTAAGTGAGAGAATATAGGGGATCAGCCCACCTTCCAGCTGAACCTGGAACCCCATGAATGTGAACTGATAATTACAACTTAATGGTGGTTGTGCTACTATCATTTACTTGATGATTTATATGAGACCTCCAGCGAGCACTCCACGCTTACATTAATCATGACGGGCACTCATGGAATAGAAAACGTTTCACTTTATGTGTGAATATATTCTGTTTAAACACATATGTGAGAACACATGGAATATTTGAATAGTTATCAAAGGAATGATTGGCAAATTAATACGTTAGAGATTGGCTTACAGTTCCATTTTGGAATATAATAATTTGATTAAGCAAATGCTATGACTTGAGTAAAGTTAAATGTTTAGGACAGTTTTATGGAGCTTGGGCCCCTCCAGGACAGCGGATGACCCATAGAATCTAAAAAGATGCATGGATATCAACATATTGCTACTTATTCCTGGATTAATGGAGTTACAGAAGGCAGAGCATCTTGGTTTGAAAACACACAAACAATTAACCTTGACCGTAAGGGATGTAAACAAGGTCTTGATTAATGAATCAAGTTGGGAAGTTATTCAATGTCCTGCTCAACAACAAACATTAGTTGGGATTTTAGAATGTAGCTGGGAACCTGCTTAAAATTGTATAGAAAATATTTGGGCTGAAATCAGAAGTAATCTCCAAATGTCTCAGTTCTCTTTTTTTGGATGATCCTGGTAAAGCCATGAAGCATCTGCCTGGGCCAAATTGTGAAGGAGACAAAGTCCTCCAACATCCCCGTCTTCCTCTCCTTCCGTCTTGCCTCCTGTGGCAGCCTCTTCTGTCCTCTTATCCCTCCGTGTTCTCCTAATGGAAGCCTGGCTTTAGGAAAGGAGCTGTTATGGACTACCGGTCATCTGCACATAGTGTGTCTGGGTTTACGTCAGAGGAGGATTTGCCTTTCCTCAGGATCACTAAGTGTGGTTTAATGAAATGACTGGTCTTTGTAAAGGGGATTCAGGCATCAGGGGAGGTTCATTCAGCCTCCCAGAGGCTGCATTGTTGGGGCCCACCTCCTCTGCTCTGGGGTACACCTGGTCCTGCTCATCTCTAGAGGGAAGGAGGAGTGTTGCCCTATCTTTGTTTATCTTCCTATTGAAGCTCAGAGGCAAATGAAAAAATCAGAGGAGAACTGGACAGGGAGTGGCGCCAGGCCCCACCTGGGGCAGAAGCTGTCCTGTGGCTTGAGGGACACTCAATTCTCTGCTAAACCAGTGGTTGTCAACCCTGAGTGTCAACCTCTGTCCTCATGCCCTGGGGGTGTGTGTAGGCTCTCAAAACTACCTCAGAGGCTTTTCACAGGACAGGACCCAGTGAGTGTGTGTCTCCCAGCTCCCTCCTGAGAACCATTTGTACTGATTGAAGTGTCTCATGTTTCTTAGGTGTGTTGGGAGTGGAAACAAGTCTGAGAGTCACAGGACAAGACTTTAATGATCTGAAATTTTTAGAAGCACTGCTGTGCTTAAAGCACACGCACATATGCACACCTGTGTCATATATGGGTTAACGTGGGGCAGAGTGGTCAGCGAAGTGATTGTTTAATTCCTATAGCACGTTAATGGTTTAGGTAATAGTAGGATCAATTGGGATAACGTGACACGTAACTGCAGAGCAGCAAACCCAGAAAGCCCAGAACTGCTCCATCCTTCATATATTCACGAAGGGGAATGTACCATTTCAGGGGCTCCTGTGTTGCAGAGAGACCAAAGAAAAGACGGATCCGGCTCTCAGACAGAGATTGTGTAGTTTGAGAAGAATTAAAAAAGGATGAGAGGGCCTTTTGGAAATGTTGACTGGGAAGCCCATAATTTAAATTTGTTTTATAAAGCAGTTTCAAGGAATTTGCATATGTTTTATAAAGAGCTGGGATCTTTTCCCTTTTCTAGAACATTTCCACCCTTCTCCTTTAAATTAGAGCAAATCTGTTCCTCAAAGCACTAATCATATGTCTTACTTTGAGCAAAGATTGAACATTCTAAGTTAAAAATAGCACATCAATGCTTGGAGGTAACGCATATTAATGTCCACATAGATGCATCGGGGTTATTAAAGGACAGGGTCACATATAACTTTTCTCTCTTATGTTTTTCTGGTTAACTTTCCCTAGAGAGTAAATATTCAACTCTGGAAGGATGGGGGTCAGTCTGCAGTGTATACTTCCCAAAGCAATCAAATGGGACTTTTAAATAGAAATCCACTTGTAGGTGGGCTAGATAATTTCTCCCCGTGTGGAAGTGCCCTGGATCCAAATGGCTAAAACTGACTTTCATGTTACGTAAGTGAAGTACAGTGAAGCATCCCATTACCCTGGATGTGATTGCCTACCCTACCGTGTTTTCAAAGATCTATGTTCTTCCAAGACACTCTGCTAATTGCAGCAACCACTTCCATAAAGCCAAGGGTTTTGTGAGTTATTTATCGCAGATGATGGGGCTTTGTTAACCGTCAGGTCTGAGCAGGTAAATCTGCCATATCGAGGCTCGTCTCGTTAGATGGACAGACAAATGAGCCCAATCGATAACCTCAACAGGAGGTAATGTTTCATGTTAAATCTTACTTGATAGCAAATAGATAATGGAAAAT